TGCATGCAATGCAAACTAAGAAAGGTCTTTCCTGTTTTTTTCCAGGTTTCCAAAGACTGTGACTGTGCCAATGCTATAATGCCAAATCTGCAGGGTTTGCTGAATATTTTGGAATGTGATATGATCTGTATTCTTTAACCATAATGGCTTCTTGGTTACATCGTATGATAGTTTTAAGTTTACTGTAAAACTTGTTTCCATTCAAAGAATGTTAGAGTACATGTACATAATGAATGTGGTAATGAATATTCCTATACTGTCAGTGTCAAGAGGCCTGTCAAATAATTGTTATAGGATTTTAATTGTTGCAATATCATTCTCTGTAACTTTTGTACATTATTTCTTCTTTTGTGGACAAAATAGTTTTATTGATACAAGAATATTGAGCTCTAAGTTCAAGAAATATTTTCTTATGTGCAGAATGTTTTTCTCATTATAAGAACTGTTAGCTAGCTCTTAGCTAAAGAAATGTTTTCTTGTATACAGAATGAGGTTCTTGCTAGAAGAATAATTAGCTCTTAGTTCAAGAAATTTTTTCTCATGTGCAGAATGGTTTTCTTACTATAAGATCAGCTCTTCAAGAAATGTTTTCTTGTATACAGAATGATTTTCTTGCTACAAGAATAATTAGCTCTTAGTTCAAGAAATCTTTTCTTATGTGCAGAATGGTTTTCTTACTATAAGAACTGTTAGCTTAAGGCTCTTACTTCAAGAAATGTTTTCTTGTATACAGAATGATTTCTTGCTACAAGAATAATTAGCTCTTAGTTCAAGAAATCTTTTCTCATGTGCAGAATGGTTTTCTTACTATAAGAACAGTTAGCTCTTAGTTCAAGAAATGTTTTCTCGTATACAGAATGATTTTCTTGCTACAAGAATAATTAGCTCTTCGTTCAAGAAATCTTTTCTCATGTGCAGAATGGTTTTCTTACTATAAGAACTGTTAGCTAGGCTCTTAGTTCAAGAAATGTTTTCTTGTATACAGAATGATTTTCTTGCTACAAGAATAATTAGCTCTTCGTTCAAGAAATCTTTTCTCATGTGCAGAATGGTTTTCTTACTATAAGAACTGTTAGCTAGGCTCTTAGTTCAAGAAATGTTTTCTCGTATACAGAATGATTTTCTTGCTACAAGAATAATTAGCTCTTCGTTCAAGAAATCTTTTCTTATGTGCAGAATGGTTTTCTTATTATAAGAACTGTTAGCTAGGCTCTTAGTTCAAGAAATGTTTTCTTGTATACAGAATGATTTTCTTGCTACAATAATAATTAGCTCTTAGTTCAAGAAAATTTTTCTTGTCTACAGAATGGATTTCTTATCACAAGAGCAGTTAGATCTTAGTTCAAGAAATCTTTTCTTATATACAGAATATTTTTCTTATTACAAGAACAGTTAACTCTTAGTTCAAGAAATCTTTTCTTGTCTACAGAATGGTTTTCTTACTACAAGAAAAGTTAGCTCATAGTTTAAGAAATATTTTCTTGTGCAACAGTTAGCTCTTCGTTCAAGAAATATTTTCCTGCGAACAAGATAGAGATTCTTCGTGTAAGAACCCATAATTCTTATCATGAGAAGAATATTCTTAAGTATGGGTTTATTAGCTGTAAGAAATAAATTCTGAGAATAAGAACAACGTGGCGTGAGTTTCTTGAATTTTCTGGAAACGGGGATTCTTGTTCAAAGAATAAGGTTCTTGCTGACAGTAAAAAGTTCTTTGCACAAGAAAAAATCCTTCTTTTAGTGCAATGCAAGAACATGAATCTTAATCTATTTCTAGGTATCTAAGAATTTTGGTCTTGACAGAAGAAATATATTCTGGGTGTGAGATGATGTAAGAAGCTATTTCTAGCAGATAAGAATGTAGTGTTCCTGGGATAAGAACGAAAATCTTGAAAGAATAAAATAACTTCCAGATTTATAGAATTTTAGGCTTGTATTGAGAACTGCAGTCTTTGTATAAGAACAATTGTCTGCATCACGAATCTTACTGTAAGAATAAGATTCTAGAAGTAACCAACAATAACTTATATAGAAACCTATAAGAAAAATATTCTTACTGCAAGAAAAAGTCTATCAAGAAAAAATTACTTAATTCGTGGACAAAATTTCATTCTTGAATACAGAAAAATTTGCTTCAGGGAAGAAATATTTTCTGACTGTAAGAAAAAACAAGAACGCTAGAAATGCCATTTTTGGTAGTGTGTGACATATGCTTTACTTAGTCTCCCCCAGACTCCCATAGAGGGTCCAACTTGCTGTGTGTGGACAAATTGGACCCTCTATGGCAAGATAAGTGGCAGTTTTTAGGCTGATTTCTACCATTTATTCATCCTGGAAAGGAGCCCGGTGGAAACTACATGACTGTATGCCTTACTTGTGTGTATGTTTTCATGCTACAGATCCAATTTAATTCACACCAGAGGACTTCATGCCATCAACCAGGCACTTGGGAAGGGTGCAGACTTGACGACACTGCTGATAGGTGGGAACTTCCTGCTGACAGAGCAGGGTGGGAGGGAGGGAGTGGAGGACCTGCGCAGACTGGTGGGACATGTGGACACAGGACTGCCTGCCTTCATGGACTCTGCAGCACTCATGGTAGAACATGTGGCTCAGATGTAGATTTTATTTCCATTGTTTCTTCATCATTAAAAAGCTTTTGCAGTTTCCTTTCTTGTGAACTTATTGTGATGGTAAACTCATGGAACAAGCATCAGGCCACTAAAGTTACGCCTGCCTACCTGCCTATATGCACAGGGCAGGTACTGGCCCCTTGCTCCTCTCTGTCAGGTACTTCCAGCCAACAGTTACTCTATCAAGGGCAATAGTCTCTGCTTCTCTTAGGGTAAGCCGTGTCAACGTAAGTGGGTCACAGGAAAAAAAAGTGCCAAAATTTCTCTGCCAGTGTTCAAGGCTATGTTGTCATGGGCACAGGTACCAAATTATTTTCAGTACATGGAACAACTTGGGTTATTTTGAGAGCAAAGTTCTGTTTGTGCCAAGTTTAGTAGACCTGCACCATCATCATTATTGCACAGGTTGGGGTTATTGTCCCTTATGCATGGGGAGACATACCTTTCATTAGCTAACTATAAGACGGGCTGAGATGGGATGTGCCAGACCTCTGTCCGGGTAAACCAAATGACCATGTGGCTAATACCAGACAGGTTCACCAGGCCTAGCCTCCATCCCGGTGATTTGAAGTGAATCAGCTTTTGATCTCAGGTATTTTGAAAATGTATAAAAAATGTAATGGACATTTGATTTTAGAAATTGGTCTTAAGTCCTTACCACTAGTTTATTTGTTCAAACAAAAGGAAACACTTATCAGTGTCATGTTGGGACAGTCTACATTCTACTAGATAGATCTGACTTGGAAATTATAAGTCCCACATTACAATGACATAATTGTATATCTACATGACATTGTATATTCCTCACTCTTTGATATCTTCAATGTCAATGTTGCAAAAGAGGTAAAAAGTTTTCAAGTTCTGTCCTAGGCAGTGCAAGATGGCACCAAAAGTGATACAATGTACATTTCTTGCGTCATAAAGCAGGTTACAGTTTCATTGTCATTGGTTGATCTTTAATTTGTTGGACAATAAAAATGTTGGCCTCACAGGCAGTTGTTTCTTTTACTAGTACTTTTCCTCATTGGTTAGTGTAACGTAGGGTGCCAGTAGCTTCTTTGGTAGCAAGTACTGTAAGATCATTAAGCAAGGTGAAAATTAAGAGGCTCAGCCCAAAAGTGAATACAGTATTTGGTAGGTAATCCCATGGCCAGTCTTAACTGGAGCCTTCCCAATTTGACCCCAATTAAAAAAGGAAAAGTTACTGGTGTTTTGAGTTGATAGTTGTAGAAAAACGATGAATATTTTGATTTACATCAGTTAATGTATTACCCAAAGGCTCGGCACCAGCTTGACAGGTGTGTGGCACAGCAACAGCTGGTTATATTTTATTGGACAACCTGCCACATGTAACATTCAATTTGGTACATGTACAATCATGTAACTGCGAGCCAGTCAAAGAAAATCCGTACATTATACGTAATGTATGGTGGGACATTCTTTTTCGTCCAAAACCTATCTTTTAGAGCCTGAAACGCATTATGCAGGCAAATTTTTGCAAAGTCACTATTTCTTTTGGAAATACAATAGTTGGAAGGATACTACTCCACACTAGTTCTAGGATACAGGACAGTCAGCTAGCCAGTACTAGTTAAATTGTGAATGGTCCTGGCATGTATCTCGTTTTGCTGGTACAATCAAAGCTATCTCAGTTTATAGTACAATGTATACTATCACTGTATAGTGATGGGATTTTGGGTTTCTCTAGCCTGTAGCCATTCTCCCACATAAGGCTGCTCAAGGGTGTTTTACCAGCCACAGTTACTTTCCTGACAGTAACTGCTCTTCCACAGAGTGAAGTAATTGAAACCACAATAGAAATTCCTGTGTGCTAACTGACCTGGACATGTCGGCAAGGCCTAAGAAAAAAATGTTGTGTTTCCTGTTTCAGTCCTGAAAATATTAGGTTCGGTAGGTAGGGATTTTCTTCTCATTTTTTAGACTTTGTGATCTCCAATGATCCAACTTATACCATACAGTTTAACAAAGTAAAACTGGTATGATGGGGACACTAATATTTTCAATGTCAATGTTCAAAAACTGATTGTGCAACATTTCATCACTCAAGTGTCAGATCATGGAGCTAGAAAAGGTCGATCAGCTCCAAAAAATTTGCAGGGATCCACACAAAAAAAGGCTAGGGTTGGCAGTTTTTTTCTAGGGTCAGTCAGGAAACACATTTTATTTCCTAGGCCCAAGCACTGAAGAGATGTCACATACAATGTACTTAGTACATGTACCCAGGAGCTCACAGTATGGTTACTAGACTGCCCGGGTTTAAATTTCCTCCTTCCTTGATTGTCACAGGAACGCTGCTAAATCTAAACCTGTGAAACATTCTGTGGCAGACATATTGTACAATAATTATTGTTGACCTTTGTCATAAAGTCAAGTTTATACCAACCTGTTGTCTAGTAGTTGTTTTGCTGTTATCATGTGTGTGTTATCAAGGTATTCCCTTGATTTTTTACTTGCTGAGGCTAAGGGAATATGCCATCAAAGTTTAGACTGGCTTTCTTCATTTAAGATGACATAGTACTAGTCTTATTTTTTGGTAGTTCTTAGTACATTCAAGTAAATCAGGGGAAAGTATGCTGAGGTTGGCACTCAGAGGATGCCTCCTCTGCAAGTCCATTTTACAAAGTGCTCCTAACTCTGAAAATGAGCAAAATTAATGCAGGACACAAAAATGAAAAATTTGAAGTGTCAATGATATTGAAATTAAAGTAACACGTACAGTAGCCCAGTTTAAGCCAAAGCACAATCTTTTGACAATCATAAACAATTGCAATTATGTAGAGAGCACATGTACATTGTAAGGCCACACCAAGTAAATTTTATGGATGACGTCCGCGCGCGCATTGATTTTGGCCTGTTCCTAGAAAAAAAAACAAGAAATTCCACTTCCTGTAACTATGACCAAAGAGTCACGACAGTGCCGCAAATCGTCAGATTGACGTGAAACCCGTAACGCGAAAACAGGACAGGACGACAACTGCTGTTCCACCTGTTTTGATGATGAATAAAAGACTTCTTGCTTCTTACACTGTGTCACCTCATTCAATTTGTGTCCTAACATTTGTTGTCTCCTAGTATATTGTTCTCCTATTATATCTTGTTTTTTAGGGCCCTTCTTGTTTTTTTTCGCCCTCTCGCATTAGATTTAGGGTCTCGAAAGGACGTCATCCATAAGATTTACTTGGTGTGGCCTAAAAGGAACTTTTGTGTGAAATGAAAATAAAGAAGAAAGCAGAAGCCATGAGCACAGTGGTTTAAACTTTACCATGTTTGAAAACTAGGGTGTACATACAGCAAACAACTCTACACACTTTGCCACAATGAAACATGCAATACATTGCTGCTGACATGACGTAGTTAAAAACACATGAAACAAGTTAAAACCACAATTATTGCTAACTGTGCATGACAGCGTAATAGACAATACAACTTAGGTCTTATTGTCCATGGTTACTTTTAGCTATGGTCAACAACCTGCCAAACACTGTACATCACCACTACTAGTATATAAGTCTTTCTTTCCCTTCTTGACGACGGACAAACCCTGCTTTACATTGACATCTGAACAGAAACAACAGCCCATTTGGAAGTAGGCAAGCACAACAAACATATTGTACCAACTTTGCTGTTATCATCTGTCACCATCTTTGTTCAAATAAAATCCTGTTGGACTGATATACTGAAGTACTGTTAATGGTATCTACACATTGATGTTATGATGTAGTACCCGAGTAGTTAGAAACAATGTAAACAGTCCATGTACTTCAGCAATGGCTGCAAAGTGGAGTCTGTGTTTATGAAGTAAATAAACCATTGTTATTATAACTAACAAGATCATGTCTGATTACAAATAAATTCATTACTGGTACATATAACCCCTACCCGCTTGTGGTACTGTTATTCAAGGGATCCTGCATGAAGTAGGTAAAATTCACTGTCTTTGCCCTTTCATAATAAGGTCAGTGAGCACTCTAGGCGAGGCCAACATTTCATTTTACTGTGATACTTTTCTTCAGCTGTTCTCATGGCATATTAGGACTGCACTTTCAGGCTATGTGTTTGTTTTCTATCACTTCACCCTATGAAAAAAGATCCAACCTTCGTTCAGTACTGTTTGGAAATTTGGCATTTCATCAGAATCCATGACACTCATCCACTGAATGAGAAATATCAAGCATTGGCACAACAGAGCCTGGTCACTACTGTGTAACATGAATCCTCACTTCTTCATGGCATTATACAAGGACAAAAGGTTATCTGAGGCCACACCAATTTAATTTGTTGGTTCTCGGATTTTTTCAGAAAAAATATGAAGCGACAGGGCGAAAAAAAAACAAAACAGGTCTAGGCATCCTATTATAGGCTTAAATGCTACAAAATGAGCCATGAACTTGAAGTCAACACAAAAGGCTGGGTTAAAATTTAAACATAGAATTTTGAACTTTTAATCAAACCACTGCAATGATAGATGGGAAAACTGTAACAACTAGGAAGAAAAGGACTTTCCTCAACTGTTGGGGGGCAAAACATGAGCATTTTCAGTTGATTCAGGACCAGAATCAAATTTTTTTTTTTTTGCAAATCAGAAAAAAACGAAGAGGCGAATCCGAGAACCAACAAATTAAATTGGTGTGGCCTAAACTCACAATTTTGGAAATTCAATGATCAGATGAGTACAGAACAACTTTTTTGGTGTGAAATGAGGAATAATGTTTGCTGTTTGTGAGTGAGTTATTGGCCTTTATTTTAAAATGTAGAAAGACAAGTATCCAGGAAGCTACATCGTACATGTGTATTACTCGTAGATTTTCAAAATTAAAATGAGAACATTTACAGCATTACTTAGCTGACCTCAAAAAAATTTGCTATATCACAGTTAACGTTGTTTTTCCGGTAATGACAAGGTTTTGATTAAATGCCCTGTTTTCATTACATTTGTTGACTAAATTTGAGAATGTTTCCAAATGATACAGTTGTTACTGATACATGTAACTAGAAACTTGTGTATTGATGTAATGATAACATATTGAAACTTTCTGACTCATAGATTGAAGTCCGTAATGTAGAAATGTAACTCAGGAAGCATTTGTGAAGTCTTGTGTCAAGCCTGTATACACGACTGGAGTAACTCGTGCATTACATTCTTTATATGGCAGAAAAAGGGCTTAGGAATTACAGGTCTTTCTTACCAGCCAAATTTGGTAAGATTTTTTGTTTTTATATGTAATATTGTTGTTGTTTATGAATGATGGAGTATTAGTAGTATTTTTAATTATGAACACTTGGAAGGCATCAAAGAAACAACTGATCTGATACTGTTTAGCTTACACATTGTACTTGTAGGCACTCATGTGGTCTATGATAACCTTGCGTGGAGTTTCTTATTTCATGGATCTTGAAGTTGTGTTCTACAGAGATATGGTAGGTCAATATCTATCCATCCGAAAGTATGTACAACATGTGAGTTGTGCGTATTACTACAGTGTTACTGTTACTGGAAAGTAGCTCTATGGCTGAAACCACTCATCAAATTCTGCTTGCCTGTAACATAGCTTCTCCAAATGTCTCTGTCTACTACTACTACAGCTAAATCATAATAAAATACGCAACATTCACAAATCCACTGCCACACAATAACCGACTTGCACTTCCAGAAAAGTCTCAAAGCTGATAAAATAAGGGTAAAGGTAGTTCTCATACTACCGGCATCTGTGTTTTGTCTGTTGACATTTACATGTAGTTAGATTGTTCCAAGGATGTTTAAAGCTGGACCTTCATTCTTCACACTTCTTTAAGAATGCCCACTTCACCATCATGTATGTTCAACCTCCTAGATAACTATCATTAGCATCAGTCACGATTTTGACTTTGAAAAGTAATAATAATAAAAAAAAAAGTATACTGATCTCAACTCAGCACCAATGTACACGTAGTATCTATACAAAAATGTCCACAAGTTTATCTCCTTACACACAAAAAACAGCCATTTAACTGCTGAGATGTGTTTCAGTTTTCCCAGCCGCAGGTTAGATTTGTGTGTTGACTTGAGGTATGTCCACGGTTGTTATAATAGAGTAAGACCACTGATGCCACTCCCTCATCATTAGGGATAAAACAGCTGCACGTGAATATCCTGGTCAACTTACAGACCAAAGGCTGCTGCCCTCTGATCTGCACAAGTTAGGACCCATTTGTCCAATGTCTCCTGACATTCAACAAGTAAAGTATCTCCTACTCTTGCCCTTTATATGTCTCTGTGCTTCGGGGATGTTCATGACAATTGGTTCGAGTCCTTGCCATGGGTCGACTGCCATGCTGTGCTTGTAATACTGCTGAGGGTTAAAGTTTACTTCTCTCTCCTGAAGTCTCGGCCCTGATCTTGACCCCTGTTTAAGATTTGAAAAATGTCATTAACCTAAGTTAGGTTAATTAGCTCATTTATGCATAAGTTTGTTCAACAATGATGCAAAAATTCAGAATGCTGCATCGCTAAATAGAAGCTTGAACATGTTATGAACATATAAAAAATTTATCAATCTCTTCAACAGAACAAGCCTGTCAGTGTCAAATAATTTGCCTGAAATACAGGCCCATAGATTGATACAGTACTACTTAGTGATGATAAGAGTTGTGGGGAGGAGTACTGTACTAAAATGTTAAACTTTAAGCCCTGACCTGTTTGGAAGTACTGTACATTTTAGAGTGTTTTAAACTTATCTGTTTCAAACAAATCAAAGTACATACAGTATGTGACATTTGTAGTTAAACTAAACTAGTATATAGTCTAATCCAAAAGCAATTTCTGGACTAGTACTAATGATAGTAGGTTCTCTTTTAAACCTCCTTTTTATTATTCATATCCATTACGTTTTACCGCAAATAAACACCCTACGGGTAGTCTACAGTTCTACTTCGCACCATCAATTATTATTCTTCAAGTTCAAAGTCTAAATTTGTTGCAAGCAAGAAACCTCCTTGCCCTCCTTGTTGCAAGGTACTTAGTCCAATTATCAAGTAAAATAAGTTTGGAGGGTTGGTGTCCCCAGCAAACAATTATACTACAGACCCATAAAAGGTGCGGACACATCTATGGAAAAGAGTATTGTCTGCACACGGGTCCCGACTCACCTGTGAGTTCTCCTGGAATTTGAGTCCAGACCCACCCTGCCCCCGATCACCCCTCCCCCTGCCCCACGCCCCCCGCCCAAAACCCGACCTCGGAGGTCCGTCTCTGAACCCTGGCCGAAATCGGGGTTGCGGGTTAGCCATAGCAGGCGGGACGAAACCTTGTCTCTGACCGGGGAAAAACATCTGGGGAGATCCAAAGAAAGGAGGAGGCGGCCGGCCGCCATGCGGGCTGCAATGTGGAGCCTGTCCGCGTGGGGAGGGAAAAGGCTTCGGCGGGGGTCTGCGTGACCCTGGGACACCGCTACCGTACGGGTTTGGCGGGAAGTTTCCTCGGTACATATTAAAACCTTTTTTTGGCTCTCAAACAGCAAAATAAACAGGTAAACTCCCAGCTGTTGATATGTTTTCTTCAGCACAGGCGACTTGCGTACCTTGGAGTGACGTCATAGGTTCTGCGCTGTGACCTAGTGACATCGTCCCCAGAACTTGATGCTAAAAAAGACATTAACAGTAAGAAAGTCCAAGCCTAGTCATAATAATGGATTCGTTAGTGTTTTCAATATGTTTTTCCAGTATTTATATTGTTTAAAGCTTAAAATCGTGGAAAATATAGTATTTGGAACAAACAGTCCTGGGTTCGAGAGTTTCTGACCCCAACAATACTTATGATGTAGTACGCAGTTTTGGTGACGTAAGACTACTTACGCAAAACCTTGGAGGTCGGTGACGCAGCTGTACTGTCTGCTCTTTCTGTCTCAAGGTGAGTTGGATTAAATTTGTTTGTTTGTTTCGTATAACCAGTAGAGTAGACTAGAGTCTACCGTCCAGTAAGTCACTAGTTTTGTAAAGAAAGTACAATTTGCGATAGACTGGGTCAACTATGTCATAATTAAACGCCAGGACACCTACTGCAGCATCTGTCTTGGGATTGAGGAGCTTGCACCAAGGATGGATACATTTCCTTTGACTTGAGCAGCAGTGACAAGTATTAAAGAGATCTAGAGGACATGAGACTAACGTAGTGGAGGTGTGGCTCTCCTCAAACGAGAAACCTTCGCTTTATGTCCTATCCAGAGGACGTCCCAAGGTTTGTTTGTTTGTGTTACATAAAAAAAAATATACTACACTACTCACGACACTAGTATGTAAGGGGGGGGGGCAGAGAGAGAGAGAGAGAGAGAGAGATCGTTGGTATAAAACTATAAAGCCCTAACAGATATTACAGGATTGAAAAATCGGAGGAGTTGTACACCTTCTGTGCAGGATGACAAGACGACTTGAACCATAAGTCTTCTCAAGGTCATAAACAAGAGTAAATACTAATAATATTTTATTAATAATAAATGAAGATGGTCCTCAGAATACTTGGAGGAACCCTGTTGCTCAAGCCATTTTTACTTATCAGCTATGGTCCTATACTATAGAGCTAGCTAAGAATACACAACAATGCAAGGTGTGCAACACAATGGTAGAGCACCACTTCAGAGAGTCAAAACCTACTGACTGGAAAAAAAAGACACTTAGCCATTCTACAGCCAAAAGAGTAGAGTAGTCTTCATGTAGTCTAGAACAGTTAAGAAGACTAGTAGTAGTAGTACGTACAGTAGTAAGGGAGCCAAAAGCAAAAACAGTATTGCAGTAGACTGTATTTTAAGATAATGTAACTTACTAAGTTACTTGAATCGATACCGCATTCACATTAGTTTGTCCCCATCCTAAATTGCGACCAAAGCCACCACCAACTACGTGTACCCCCATTTATACACTCTGTATAATGTCCTTGATCTTCCATATGCTGTCCTTGTTTCTCAATCTTAGCCAGACCTAATATAACGGGATGCTGGTTCTGCTCTTCTTGGTTTTCTTTCTTTTCCTGCTCTTTATTCCCATTGATGGTGGAGTGGTTACTAAGGTGAGCAGAAATAAGATATAGATGTCATGGGTTTGATTCGTCGCCCTCCTGGCCAGACATTATGTCCTTGGGAAATTTTTAAAGGCACACAACTCCCTTAACTCCACCCAGGTGTAAAATGGGTTCCTGGCTACAGTACTACAATGTACATGTACTACAGTTGGAGAGGTACTACAAGGTGGTGGAAGGAGAGGGTTGGGTTCCACCTTCCAATACTGAGCCCTTAGAGGCTGGACACAGTGAATCATAAATCGGATCCACTTCCCCTATGGCCTCGAAAAGGCTACACTGGTAACAGGACAGTGGACTACTACTAGTACCTTTGCCAGAATGCCCTCCATGTCCTGTGGCTCAGCAGCTTGTCTCCACCAGAGAGCATAATGATACTTTAAACATATATTTTATCCACAGATGTTTAAAGAACCTCGTCCTGAGGATGAAGTGTGCAACTTGTAGTTACTTCTCAATCTGGTTAGCATAAATTAATATTTTTGTACTTAAGAACAGTGGGAAATATGTGAGGTACCTGATATAAAAACAGTACAATTATAGTAGTAAAACAACTAATATAACACTAAGTACATGTAGCTCTATGTTAAGATATGTTGGGAAATACTAAGTACATTTTGTACTATATTTTGGTGATCTGTTTTTGAGATGTTAACACTGTTTGGTATGCCCAACGTTTAATGTGGAGTGATGTGGTAATATATTAAAATGATATTCCTGGATAGTCCTTCTGCATGACTGCTGTGTATACAAAAGGAGAGGCATTTTGAACAACATGAGGCAAGTACAGTACTCAGAGTACGTGGACACGTTAGGAAAGCAGCCAGTTTGTAAGATAAAGATGGGGCAGTAACCATGGTAACCATCTCCTGCACTTCTGCCACAGGTGGTGGCCTGGTGTCCCGTCATGGCTGGCCCGCTGTCTGCCACAGTTCGCGCCGCCACACGTAGACGTCTCATCCCTCAGCGCGTGGCCCTGGTGCTCACACAGGCCGCCGTCAAGAAGGTCCGCACGCTCATGGACGGACGACCTGACATGATCGGGATTAAAGTCGGCGTCCGGACCAGAGGATGTAACGGACTGTCTTACACCATCGAGTACGCCAAGGAGAAAAGCAAACAAGACGAGGTCGTGGTCCAAGACGGCGTGACTGTCTTAATCGACAAAAAGGCACAACTCACGCTACTGGGAACAGAGATGGATTATCAGGAGTCTAAACTAGCGTCAGAATTTGTCTTCCACAACCCAAACATCAAAGGGACGTGTGGATGTGGAGAAAGCTTTTCACTATGATGCTACCATCTGTTCTTGACACAATGGATGACAATGCACATTTTAATTTTATTTAAGATTGTATATTCATACATGGAATTTGTGAAGAGCAGCTTTCAATGACTTACAATTGGATACTTTGGAAGAAGTGACAATGGTTACCAAGGATTGACAGGAAGGCCTCAGGAACAGCAGAACTCCCACATGTACTAGTACACAAGCCCTGTGCTGAAGGATTCTGTAATGACAAGCACTACAGTAACTGTCTTCAGAATGAGATTAACATTGTTGTTGGGAAGGAGTACTGAAAGGACTGGGTAGAGTGTGGGAATGTTGCTGCGGTCAACAAATCGGCAATCTTGAACAAGGATGAACAGGCCTCAAGTGACTCAAGACTACTCTTAAATCACCAACCTTCAAGTTGCGGAGAGACCAATGCAAAGAGTTGGACTGACTTGACGGTTGACCAAAAAAATAAAGTCATGATCATAGTATTCCTGAAATGCTACATATGCGTACTAGTAAATGTGCCTAAAGACAAGTCAGATGCTCTGTGTTGGAAGAATTATGCAAGTTTTGGCCAGGTCCTATATGTTCTACCCACCTTAACCGGGAATATTATTACTGATAAACGGTTGGAATAAAATAATTGTATGCACCTAATGGTGTACTAGTGGATTTTCAACTTAGAAAATATCAGTCTTTAATATACAAGGTAGATACTGTCAATTCTTAAATCTCTTGTTGATTGTACTCCTTTTTGTCTAGGAAAAAATGGCTGTTCTTTCTGAAGTTTGTAACAATTCTAGATGTTGAGTCAACCATGTGGTAAGGATGATCATAACCAGCAGATAAACATCAAGCATTCAGTTCATATTGAAATGAATTGAATGACATACAGAAAGAGAATTGTTCCTAGTGTATACATGAGGTACCTGTAGTGTGTTCCCTATTGCTACTACTAATATGATAGACATTGTGCCCAAATGTTTATTGACACTAGCTTACTGTACCATACAATTTGCAAATTAAGTGTGGTGTAGATTTATTGATTATACAACTTTTGGAACACGCTGATTGTGGTGATTTCTTTGCTCAGTTTTGATTTAAAAAGGGTCAAGTTGAATCTCAGATATGATCTTTCCCTGGTAGAAGAATGGCTGGATGAATATATATACTAGTTATATATATTATATATATATATATATATATATCATTTCTGTCATGAAAAAACAGACAACAAGTGTCCCATGGACCCTATAGTACAGGAAAAGTAAAGATGGATTATGAACAGGGCTGAAATACCAATCTGCTATTGGCAGGGCTCAAGTTTGAGTTCACATTTCTCAATGATCTGCTGTGATACTTATGATATTAAATACTGAAAAGTGTAAGAAGTGATTTTTTGGGGTGAAAGTTGATTTGGACTTGGAGTCTTACCGGTTATCTGTGATGAAAGTGATGCATCCATTTTTTTTGCCGTATCATTTTTGATCGAAAAAAATTTTTTTCCCCTCAGATCTAAGGCCACACTCACTTGATTTTAAGGAATAGTACATAATGGATGACATCCTCTGAAAACCTGAACTAATATGACAGAAATTTGAGAGTTTAAACGCCCAACAAAGTGAATGGAGGATATCTTTCATTCTAATACATTTCATATATCAAGGGCTGTTTTGGTTGATGTAGTGGAATGAGAAACATGGCGGAAAATAGGCAGCGTGCAAAATGCCTGGTTGCCCAGTTGCCCCGGGCAACCAAATTTTACTTGGGGCAACCTACTTTTTGGGCTACCTGAATTTTACACCCCCCCCCCACGAAGTCATGCCCACTTGACTTGCACCATTGTAGCCTGCTGATGCTTTTTCATTTTAGGTAATAATGGCTATTACTAGTAACAGTTAAGTTACTAAAGGCAGTTAGAAATATTGTTAAAGGCTTATGTATGTAACATTACTTAATATAGGTGGGGCAACCTAAAATTCTGATGGGCAACCTAATTTTTGCCGTAGGTTGCCCAGTGGGCAACATGGTTCAAAAAAGGTTTTTGTACACTGAGACTGAAAAGCCTCAAACAGTGCCAGTGAGAGAGAGTAGAGAATCATGATCATGAATGCAAAAAGAACACATTGAGAATTGTGTTGGATGTTGTGGCAGGATGAATAATGTTTGCAGTGGCATGGTTTGTTGTTAGTGACAGACTCAGGTACAATTTAGGAGGTTTTGATGGTAAAACTGTTTTCTAACTGCATACATTTCTGTTGAATTAAATCAAATTGTATTACAAGTATACAGAAATACCATATGCATGTTATGATACCCAGAGTAAACCACTGCTCAAGTGATGGCATACAATTTGTAGGTATGTAGTACAACAGATAAACTTTTACCCCAAAATTGTATTTAAACATGAATTTTTTTGACTGTTATTATTATCATTTATTAAACATCAATCTGGCTAACCTGGCCACCTACTCTGTGAAAGCCAATTTTTTTTCAAGCTTTGTAATAACTTAGTAATAGCTATACATTAAAATGTTATATTATTTTTTTATTATACTAGTACTCCGGTACATTAAGTTTTTCCAGTGTTTGAACTAGGACTCATGTTAACCACTAGTATTATACACATTGTTGTTCTGCGGTTTTCCAGATCTCCATTGACAAAGGGCCAAGTGTCAGGACCAGTCTCTCCTACATTGCAGTCTGACACAGTGTGATCATCCAGCCCCGCTCCAGCAAGAATGAGTGGTCCTGGGGACATCAGCTGAACTGACTAGGGGAAGTTGGACATCTTAATATCAGCAAGGTACAAAATTAGTAGCTGGTACATTGTAGTCTTTTGCCCTTGATAGAACTGACTGGAGGAACCATACAGTATGAGGGGGAGCAAGGGGTCAGTCCCTGGCCTGAGCACATTGGCATAGTAATATCATCAAAACGTTTTCTGCCACATGCTTGAAAATGATGTGGTCATCATAGTCGCAGAAATCGGGCCATGTGCAATCTCAACACCGTGACTAGACTAATCTGATTCTCCAAGCAGATCTTTTGGTGGAAATGGTTATAGACTGGCCAATTTGATACTGTCTTCCCCCCACCAAAAGATCTGCTCGGAGAATTGCTGAGGTTTTAGATTTGCATGTGTCAATGTTGTGAACCATTTTGTCAGCACCTGGTGTTAGTAGGAGTGGTGTGCAGTGCATTGGCAATATGCCCTACATGTACTAGTACTTGGATAAGTTGGAATGAGTGGTGTACATTAGTGTTTCCCAGATTGGAATGAGTGGGGTACATGATAGTGCATAAGGCCACACCAATTTGATTTCTTGGTTAACAGATTTTTCTACAAAAATAATGGGGCGGGTGGGCGAAAAAAAAAAAAACAGGCCTAGGCATCCTATTATGGCCCAAAATGGTACGATAGGAGCCATGAAGTCAACACACCAGGCTGGTACAAAATTTAAACAAAAATGGAATAACAGTAACAACTAGGATGAAAAGGACTGTTTTCAACTGTTCAGGGCAAAATATGAGCATTTTGTAGTTGATTCTGAATTTTTTTTTTGCAAATCAGAAAAAAAATAAAGTGGGCGAATCCGTTAACCAAGAAATTAAATTGGTGTGGCCTAAGTGGTGTACATAAGTGCCTCCTAGAATGGAATGAGTGGTGCATCCCTTAATTGGATGGCACTGATGGGTATTCTAAAAGTGCTGCCATTACTTATAACTGAAGCATTATTCCTAGTCAAATCAGGTTCAAATGTATGATTATCATAATTAGATCTAGACAGCTCCCCCAGTAGTACTTGCACCAAGCATTGACCACTGGTGGATATACATATATTGTACAGTAACATGTAGTGACGTCAACAACAGGTTTAGTCAGTCACAGTATTTGCCAACAAGAGATATTTTCTAAAATTCAACATTCAACTTCAAGGACAGGTTGGTCGATCTATTATTGTAACTTACCAATCCTATAGCTTGATACCAGTATACTGGTACATGGCATTGTACATGTACGTGTTGAGCTGTCTGTTACACATCTGTTAGAGCATATCCAACACTCCAGTTGAGTCTTCAGGTTTGTAGTCTGTAGTCTTACTCAGACCTTCTCACAATGCAGATGTCAGTAACTGTTGTTGAAAACAGTGTTTCTTGAAATTCCTCTTGTGTCCAAATCATTTCAGCAACATCCTACTTCAGGACAGTGATTGTACCGCATCTGAGGGCCAAGCACCAGGTCCATGAACAATAATTAACATAGATATTAGTATTCTTAGGTGATAATTTAGATAGTGAGTGGGTGAGACAATGTGGGTTATCTTACATGTAAATGAACCACAGTGACTGTTCTGTGTTTTTTTAATGCTACCGGTATCTTGATCATGATTTAGTATCTGTCTTTGTCTTTAAATCTTTCAAAGGATATTTTAACTATAATAATAATAATATTAATGTTTGTTACCAAGACTAGCAAGAGCATCATTGGTTTTAACAATTTGGTACATGTACAGTAATGTATGTGTCTGTAAATGTGTGTCCAGTTAACCCATTTGTACCATTTTGCATTAAAAACCTATGAGTACTAGACATTTTAGTATGACTCCATTGAGAGGAAAGAATATTAAGTAAACTGACCTTGAACAGTATCATTGCCTTCATCAGAAGGTTATGTGTTTTGGTGCACCATACATGGGGTCACTTAAATTAATAGTTAGTAAGTAGCTGATTTTTTAATTGGTTAAACTTGGCAGGGTTTAACACATGTGCAGTGACATTATTCACAGTATATTGGAGGGTTTAATATCTTTATTGGTAAGCAATGCCAATTTTGCTAATCTTGAGCTGAACTGCAACTGTTACAGTACAGTTATACATATGGGAGAGTGTCTCAGACTGAGTGACTGGTGTGTTGTGGTGTCGAACATTTTCAATTAGAAGACAATGAGCTAATATGTATATTATCTGATTCAATAATATTGTTTATTGCAAGCTCTTGCCCAAGAAGGGAAAATAAGTAGTACAGGAACAAAAGGAACATTTAAGTAAGAAATAGAAACAATTGTAACTAGAATTCCACCACCTCCTACCTACATCAAAATTATGTTAACCTTAAAGTTTAACAACTGACAAACTGAAAATGTTTCTTAATGAGCATGTATTTCTATGAATTATATCTGATTCTGTTGATCATATTCTCCACCCAATTACAGTATTAGGCCACACCAATTTAATTTGTTGGTTCTCTGATTTTTTCAGAAAAAATATGAAGTGACAGGGCGAAAAAAAATGATAATAAAAACAGGTCTAGGCATCCTATTATAGGCTTAAATGCTACAAAATGAGCCATGAAGTCAACACAAAAGGCTGGGTTAAAATTTAAACATTGAATTTTGAACTTTTAATCAAACCACTGCAATGATAGATGGGAAAACTGTAACAACTAGGAAGAAAAGGACTTTCCTCAACTGTTGGGGGGCAAAACATGAGCATTTTTCAGTTGATTCAGGACCAGAATCAATTTTTTTTTTTTGCAAATCAGAAAAAAATGAAGAGGCGAATCCGAGAACCAACAAATTAAATTGGTGTGGCCCTAGCAAAAAAAGCTATTACTGTAACAGCATTTGCTAAAATATGCCAATGAGGCCCTGATTTGAATAAATTATGTGGTTTTATATTCACCTTTACTACCTTCCAAATGTAATGGTCTTCCTCTCATTCTCCATTACATATTACATACAAATTGTCACATGTTTGAATACAAAATACGATACGATAAGATACGATACGATATGACTTTATGTAGTCCCGTCATGGAATTCAGCAGATTTATAGAATAACACATTGTCTAAGAGTTTTATAAAACAGCTTTCTAGAATCTAGCTAATAGCATATAAGCTGTCTGATTCTCCACCTTAACACATATGTACATTGTCTACTACTTAACAGGAATGGTTGACTACTGCTGGTTGGCTTGATTGTCTTCATCTTGATTGGTCAAGTCCTCCTCCTCTTGACCAATCAGGTCCTCCTCCTCTGGACCAATCAAATCCCCGTCCTCTTGATTGGTCAAGTCCTCAGGGACCTCTTCCTTCTCAGTGTTTTCCACCAAGTCTTGATCCTTGTCCTCCTCCTCCTTTTCGATGGTTTCAGCTGTGTTGAAGATCCTTTTCACCTGTTCCTCTCCGTAGCGGCTGGCTAACATGGCACGCACTGTGGAAAATGAATAAACAGTGTTTGTTTCGTGGAGGCTCATTTGAAGTACTTGTAGTTGTACAATCAGACTGGGTGTAGCTATATATAGCCTAGCGCCTGGATGCCATACATTGTAGCTTCCACCAACTCCCTAGTGTCACTGGCGACAGGCCACACCGACTTAATTTCATGGATGACATCCTCTGAAGACCCCGAAACTAGTGCGCGCGGGCGAATATAAAAAGATTCCGGCCAAAAAATGGTACTAAACCACAGGAATATAAAGCTTGTATTGTGAATTTGTGGCAGTACATAGCACATGCTGGCTTTTTGCGGAATTTATGAATCAGCAGTGTACATGTATGTACATGTATGTACTAAGTTCTACAGTCATGGAGCTTCGGTAGCTTGGGTGCCATCCACCAGAGTTACCACCTCCGTATTGTCGCCAACTACCACAGACTATCCAGGCCTAGACTAGAGCCAGGCCAGAGCCTTGGAGGACGTGATCTTTTTTTTTTATTTTGAGAACAGGTGAAATTCAATGCACGCTCGGATGTCATTCATAAAATCAATGTGGTGTGGCCTAACTATTGTGCATGCATGGCACCCAGGTTATAATCAATGGACACCTTGAAGTTCTGTATATTTGCTGTAGATGTTGTTTTTTTTTTTGCTCTAACTATCAAAGGATAAGACAAATCAATCTCACGTCGGTTCTTGTCATCCTCAGTCAGTTTCTCCACTTTCTCTTCTGCCTTGGCCATTGAAAGCTTTTCAGTTTCCACTGTGGGAAAAGAAATCAAGAGCAAAATAACTCAAGTGCTGTATAAGTGTCATATAGTGGAGACAGCACTATGGTAAGACGTCCCTACTTTCTGAAGATATAGTATTAGGATGACATTGTGTATTATTTTTTCAAACAGCAAATACATCATGTCAATACTTTATGATAGAGCTACGTACCAGTAATTCTTATTTCTTAATATCAATTACCTATAAATATCTAGTCCTCCCTTCAATATTAGGTAACGGACATGTTCACTTCTCTAAAAGAGGATGTCCTCAAACATTTCTGTAAGTTGTAAGAGTTAATACTGGTTAAGCAGTCACAACCTGCCATACGTGCTTTTTGTCCGTACGTTATTTTTTTGAGGCCACGTCTGCTATGTTTATCTGAAAACGTAGAGTGACTGGCCGAGGGAGTACGTCACTCGCACGGTTGCGCAAGGTGTATAAATATAAGTATGTGGTCTGCACCTACTGCATGCCACGCCTGGCCGTGAGCAGTTGCGTGTATCTTTGTGCAAGTGGTGAGTTGTACGACTGCTTAGAACCTATGATCTCTGTACGATTGCCACGTTACCACGTACAGGCCGTACCTACACATGCTGGGTACGTACGGTTTCCTTACTCGCATGTTACAAGTGCTTGCATGTACGATTAACCATCTGATTCTTCTTTCGTGTCATCTTCCTCCTGTGAATCGGCAGACTGCACGCAGAAAAAGTTTTACATGCACTGAAAGTTCTATGGCGTGTCTGCATGCTCCCAAATCCGTAGGATTCCGTACGGAGGTGGTACTCACCACGCACGGATCCCCAGTACGTTTGCCCACATTTTTGCACGTAGACAGCACGCAGAAGCACGTGCGGCGGGTTGTGACCGAGGCTTAAGGTCTTAAATAAGAAGATAGGTCTGATACCTTCTCCTTCTGCATCACTGCCTTTGATGACGTCAGAAATCAACTCCTTGAAAGCCTTTCTCTCATCAACTTGTAATCCCAAATCCTTCTTTAACGCATTCAGTTCTGTACAGAAATGATAAATAATAAACAGTTATCATCAAATCTGCTCATATAAAGTAGGCACTTTGTTGACAAAAAAGAATGACATTAAATTTTTTAGGTGGGGGAATGTTATGCCTTTTAGAAAGTGTGCATATTATATACTCTGTAATTATTAATTTACTGTATGTACTCTAAATGTAGTCAGGGCTCAATATACAACTGTATGTGCATTAACTTATTGCACTTTTGGAGCTGTGCACTGCCAAGTATGTCTATCTGCGCCTAAGGTACACTGGTTCATTTACAGTATACAAACTTAATTAGGTGCTCATAACACACTACACTGTGTGGATTTTTACCTCCATGAAAAATGGAGGTATTGTTTTTGGCGGCGTCTGTCTGTGTGTGTGTCTGTGTGTCTGTGTGTGTGTCTGTGTGACTGTGTTTCCGCAACTTTGTAGTCAGCATAACTTCAGAACGCCTTTATGGATTGTGATGATATTTGGTATGTTGGTAAGTCTTAGGAAGACAAAGGTCAAGGTCAAATATGGGCCTCCTGGTGGATGACCTTGGTACTGCAGCAGAACTTCCGGTTTTTGTATCTTTGGTCCTGAACATGCTATGGTCTTGAATTTTTGGTGACAGATAGCTTTTCCTGCCAGGAATGAGTGGTGTGGGTTTGGTCCCCCTAGCAGCTTGTTCTGGAACTGCAGGGGACTTTCGGGCGAAATCTTTGAAAGCCAATAAGTCCAGATAGGAACAGCGTATTTTCATCATTTTTGGTGTGTAGGTATCTGACAGAAAGATGTACATAATTAACTGCAAATTATGCAAATGAGGACTTTATTTGCATAATTAATGAAGAAATTCTATAATTACAGTGTTTTACATTATAGAACTTTCATACATGTAATGTATGTAACCTATGGCAGATGGAACATCAACAGATACTAATTATGCAAATGATGACCTAATTTGCATAATCAATGCAAAAAATCTATGATTTCTCAATGGTGAATGATGGGAATGTCATACTTGGGACATCTGTAAGTTAATCAAAAGTTAACATCACGATGCATATATTATGTTAATGCAGAGGTCATTTGCGTAATTAAAGAAGAAATTTACATTTACATATCAAGCCCATATTTCATGGAGGTATGAAATCTCGGAATTCTTGTTATTTGCTGCATTCACTGTTGCAACCTAGTTTTAAGTATTTATTATGGTTCCTGAACAGTTTTTAGTTTGATACATGTACATTCTTCCTGAAGTCTGATTAGTGCATGTAAAATTTGTATGGTAATCTTCAAGGTTGCTTATCTATCTATTCCAGTGTTGTTAAAGACTTAGTCTTGTTTATACATTGTAGGTGCTGATAACTGATATCAGATGTAACGGTATTCTAAATATGAAAGAAGAAAGAAGAAACATGAAAAATTGATCTACTTTCCCCTTCCCCTCATGATCACCCCCTAATCTTTCTGTCAAAGTTGTATGCATTTTAATCATCAACTGGCACAAGGGAAAAAATACAACAAAGCATTTCATTTTCTTACTTTTATCCTCCTCCTTGGCCAAGCTGCTGGCATCCTGGAAAAGTGTCTGAGTCTCATCTTTTCCCAGATTCTGGCGGAAAACCTTCATGACTTCATGACATAAAAAAGGAAAAATTGAATCAATGCAGTCAGGAAACTGTTGATGTGCTTAATTTATTCCAAGGTTCTATATCTAAATGAGACTTTTGTAAGGAAAAAATGTTCAGTTACACCACAAACTGTTTGTTTTAAACCCCCTATATGAACTAGAATTATTTTCTGTCATGGGCTTACCTTTTCCTCTCTCTTCATCAGAGAGTTTCTCTACCTGGTCAGCAAACCTCTCCACCCCCAGCTTCATCTCTTCATCTGGGGATTAATAAGAACATTTCAGCTTCAAGTGTCTTAAGAAAGGGTTAACGCCCCGCCCCTAGGTGTATATGGTGAGATAATCGCTGGTCAGGTGCGATAACCACTGAATAAACCACCAAGTGAGTGTAGCTGTCCCTTGTTTCCTTTCACCCATATTATCTCACCAGATAGCTGATTCTGGTATCTGAGGGCAGAATGCAGACAATCACAGTTATCTGACAGGGGAGACACCACAAGCAAAAGTCTTGAAACCTTGAGGACATCGACAATGTCAACATGGGGAACAATGAGTTCTTCTTCACTAAATGACATCCCTGTTCCCCTGTGAGTGTGACGTAACAGTAGTGTTCATTTGATCCGTGAAAGGTAAAAGGCATCCAATGCAATTTCAGAGCAGCAAAACTGGAAGTATTCTGAATAAGGCAATCTTTATGATATTGACAATCATATACTGCCTCACTTTAGCACATTTGAGTCAGTATTTTATACTTTGGGTACTTAAAACTGCAGATACAAGCCCCAAGATAAGCCCTTTAGCTTTACTTTATGGATGGTGCCCTAAAAGAGGGCCTGCAAGCCCTTTTTCGTAAGGCGTAATCAGGCCTTTTTAGCCTTCGTAATCCGTAGGCGGCCGTCCAAAATCATCGTAATTCGTAATCGGTACATTAGCCGTAACGCGTAATTGGTCGTTTTTATTCTCCGTAAAGCGTAATTAGTTACTTTTATGCAACGTAAATCGTAATCCATGAGATCATAAGAGCGTAGGCTGATTTCAAAATGGTCCAATCCACAACCAAAATTTAGGTCTCAAAATGCTGGAAATAGCGTTTCAGAGGGGTTGAAAATTCAAAATTTCCTGGGGGGGCATGCCCCCGGACCCCCCTAGCAGGCTCGCGCCTGCGGCGCTCGCAGACGGACGCCTTCGGCGCCCGAAATCTTGCCCCCCCAATCAAAATTTCAAATCTCGGTGTTTGTGTAGTGATATTGCCCCCGTTCTGGCAGGTGACGTGAGTTGGGCACGACTAGGAAGCCAGTATCCACAGCATAATATTATAATTATATTTATAAATGTTTCTTCCTCTATCGCCATGGCTCAGTGGTTATGAAAAGGATAATCGTCACCTACAATTATGGCGCGCTCAGAACTCGCTGATCGGTTTCACCTATCGCCCGGTGCCTTCGGCAGCCACCGGTTCGAACCCGCCATTTCGGCACCCGCCAGAACTTGTCCTCACTCCAAAAAAACTCCTGGGTCAACCGCATATGCGCTTATCAACACAAAGTCAATAGTTTTGACGTAGAACTATTATTTGCTGTGTTTTAGACGGTCGGGAATCCTCATGATTTAACGTAATTCGTAATCAGCTCTGAGAATTTAACGTAATTCGTAATCGGCGGCGAAAATTTGGCGTAATTCGTAATCAATACCCCCCCTTGCAGGCCCTCCCAAAAATCAGCCAAGGACCCTTCCAGTAACCATTTTCTGTCAGAATTTTGGGTATTTTTGCTCCATGAGGATCAGTATACATTGGGATAGTGTTGTTTCAACTCAGTATGTATGTAGATAAGTGACTAGAATATTGACTTCAAAAAATTGGGTTTCCAAGCCCTAAAAACTGCATTGGATGCCTTTAACAAAACACTCTTTGTGATACTAGTACCTTCTTTGTCTGGGTCCACTCCTTCTGCCACATCTCTCATCAGTTCTCCAATGGCATACTCCTCTCCTGCATCCCACTTTACCCTCCTGGATTCAGCCAGGATCGTTATCACTGCAAATATGGGAATAGTCGCCATGTCAGAAATTTTATCAAGGTCAACACATAGTTAATGATTATGCATTTACAGCATACAGGTACATGTATATGGATCTTCCTAGTTGATCACAATAACACAGTCTATCACCAAGAGCAGACACTAATATCTTTTGTTGATTATTATAATATCACAGTTTATTCTGCATTGAGAATCAGTATCTTTGAGGTGGTGGTTTCTTGTTTACCTACTACATTCTTACATTGAATTCACACTTGTCAAGAAGAACTACATACTGTAACAGTAACTAATTATAAAGTAATTTCTTTGGGATTCAGAAGACTCTTCGTGTATATAAGATGTAGCCAAAGCTGAACATACAATGTATCTGTGACTGTTGACTATAAAACATCATCTAGTAAAAAAAAGAATGGGTTGCTTACGTGACTTTTGTTTCGCATTGAGTCCAGATTCAGCATCAACAAGGCCGATGGCTGTTATGACTAACAAGATGTATGTCAGGTAGCTCATCTTATCTTTGTGATCGAGACTTGGTGCTAAGAAGGTACGGCAAAATTTGTTGTCAGAGCCCTGAATAATCGTCTATAAGGTGTATCAATTTGGTAATTAGTGCAGACAACTACTGTCTGACGTCAAAGGGTGTGTGTGTGTGTGTCAAAAACCGGTTTTACTTCTATGATGTGTGACGATGTTTCATAAACACTTTTCCAACTGACCTTTGAACTGTGAACCCTGGAAAGACAGGTTCTTATTACTTGAAGTTAACTATAGTCACCTTAGAGTCAATAAATAAGATAAAGAATATTCATTGGGTTATAAATTACTTTGGGTTATTCTTGCATGAGATTATTTCAGCTACCAAATTGAATAATCCTGAATCCTGTCAAAGAAATAAAGATGCAAGACAGTATTCTGCTCTACAACCTTGTAATGTTTACCGTAAATATAGAATACAACACTGGGTATTCCGTATCGCCCGAGGTATCGGCCCGACCGCGATTCCAACGTCCGGATTCTGTATTCGAATTTTCGAAAGGGGCACAAGCGGGTAGGGCGAAACGCGTTCGAATAGTTTTATGGAAGCCATGGAAGCGTTCGATAACGGGTTCCGGACCGGGTATGGA